TATATATAAAGCCTTTTAAAATCCTTCCCACACTCTTGCAATATTCTAAACAATGTTTCTAAACTATAAACACTCTAAAAGGGCACAGAATGTCATGAACTCAGTTCTCTGCACTCTTGACCACGTCTACTTCGCTGCAGAATGAAGAAAGACAAAGGAGGAAGGAGGAGCTGCAAGAGGACGTTTCTCCTGAAGTAAGGGCTGCACAAAGGTGCAGCAGGTGCTAAAAAATTTAAATTAATTTATTTAAAATAAAAATTCCATGCCGCTTGTGTGACTCATCCATCAATCAGTCAATTGTGTCATGTCCAATCTTATTTTGAAAAACTGCGATAGAGCGAAAGCGCGAAGTAGCGAGGGACTACTGTATTCGTTTTGAATTTAACCAGTTTTTTTTTTTTACTCACATGACTTTTGTTTTGAGTTGAATTTCATCTACATATATGTACAGATAAAGTTTAACTAAAAGTTGACTGCTTTAAAACAGGATTATAATTAAACACTACAGTTAGTCAAACTTAGAAAATATTACCTGGAGCTTTCAACAAAAGCTGAGCACACTCGTTTCTTGATGATCTTTGGAATCCAGCTCTGTGAACATAAAATCATGTAGAAAAAATATTCAGAAAAATACTGGGCCAGGAACAAATCAAAGTTAAGCACTCCTTGACTAAATGCATATTTCTGTCTACCTTTCATTCATTTGTTCATTCATTCGTTCGTTCATTCATTCATTTCATCACTAAGGTTATTTTATGATGTGAGGAACAGAGTTAAGGTCATTTTGGTCAAACCTTTAAATGGTACATGATCATGTCAGATTTTGTGAGATGTGTTAGCATTTAGAGTACGTGCTGAGGATGACTCAGATACTACCACACTTAAATTTAGCTCTACATCTGTAAAACTAAATTCAAGGCTATTTCTTTATGTTTGCTATGGTTGCTTAGCTGTGGCAGTTGTTCTGAATAGAGTTGAATTATTCAATTGTAGATTACATCCATGGTTTACATTCTGTTTGACTAAAATAGGAAAATATTTTGCTAACAGGTAAACCAAGAAACATAAACATACAGACATAGGTAAAAATGTCATCCCTTGTTGGCCTTTGATGGCTGATGATGAAAGTTATAATATACCTTACAAACAAATATGCAGAAAAACTATCTGTACCAAGAACCAAAAATAAACTGTTTCTATGTGACATCATTAATCTAATAAAGCTGGATTGTTGCTCTGGGTTAGGAAGAGTCTTTGCCTCCAACAAAAGAGTGAATGTATCTGGGAGTCCTGTAGTCATGATGGTAGGATTAAGCAAGAAATGGACTGACAGTCTGCAGTAATGATGGTGTTGCTCTGGGGTTTGTTGTGCTGAAGGAGGAGCTGTAGTGAAAGGCAAAGCTCTCAATTTCCAGGTCCCCCCCCCCCCCCCCCCCACACACACACACACAAAAGCTCCTCAACACAACAAGGAAACCTCATTTTACGCCCACCAACAAACTATTATACAGAAATCAACAGTATTGCACTGGCCGGGACAAGGAAAGACCTTGTTTGATGCTGATTTGTGACCTATCTATCTTGGAGCTGATGAAAAGTGCATGTAACACCTTCTAGTAATGATGCATATGTGTTTTTTTGTTTGTTTGTTTGTTTTTAAATTATGCATATGTATATGAAGTTTGTTAAATTATCTTAAGCAGATCAGAAGTTATGGGCAGGACAAGGGCTGAGTGGTTAGGGCAGTCATCCTCCAATGCGAGAGTTGGGGGTTCGAATCCACCAGCAGTCACATGCTGAAGTGTCCCTGGGTAAGACACTGAACCCCTCATAGCCTCTGATGTGTGTCCCATCGGTGTATGAATGTGATCTAAAGCACTGATTAGTCTCTTTAGAATGATTTGTTCAATTAGCTTTGTAGAGATCTACAAAGTAGTAGTGTTGTATGAATGGGTAAATGAGGACACAGATTGTAGAGTAAAGTGCTTTGAGTATATTGAAATACGATAAAAAGGCGCTATATAAGTACAGTCCATTTACCATTTACAAGAGAAAGCGTATATATGTATATACAGAGACTACCATAATATGTTCTGACTGTGACAGGCATAAAAAACAGGAGTCACTTGGGGTAGTACTGCATGTACAAGTCAGCAAAGTTACCTCTGTTTATATTAACTACAGTTTAAAGTTATTCATCCATCCATTATCTTTACCCGCTTCTTTCGTTTTAGGTAACGGGGGTCGCCAGTGCCCATGTCCAGCAATCACTGTGTGAGGGGCAGGGTACACCCTGGATAGGTTGCAAGTCCATCACAGGTTAAAGTTATATGCTTTTATTTTGGTAACTTCCTTGTGAGCAGAAGTATGCTAACAGAACTCAGATCGACAAGAAAAGGAAGACGACGTAAGGTGAAACTGAACAGAGCTAACGGCAACACAGAGAAAAGATCACGGAAAAAGTTCAAAAGCAACTCAAGATTAGCTTCAGTCGATAGGGGAACAAGGTTTGTAACTGTGATTAAAGTATTTTGAGTAACTTGAAATGTTTATGTGAAAAGTTGTGATTGTTGTGTTAATGGAAAAAATATACTAATGCAATACAATGGATGGTAAAATAATTGTAATTAATGTTATGTACTTTTGTCTAGCTTTTATGTTGGTTGATGGCATGGATGGCTTTAATAAATCATTATTTAACCATCAGTTCTGGCCTTCTTGATAATGACTGGATGCTACAGTACACTGTAAGTGTCATCTAAATAAGATGTGTTCTGGGTGCATGAATAGACTCCAGGGCAGACCCAGAACTCTCTGAAGGGATTATAAACCTTCTATGGCCTAAGAAGCTGGGTAGAGATTGTGAAGGTTTCCCTCCTGGACCTGTTCACAAAAGAACTTCGTCTGAATATAGGCTGTACTGCTGAATATGGGCACCAGTGACCCCCACTACCCAAAAAGGAAGAAGTGGGTGAAGATAATGGATGGATGTATTTATTTATTACCTAACTCTGTGCTTAATTTGTAAACCAAACTATGCCAGAACGCAAATAGCGGGGAGTGGGGGTTTACCTACCCCCACCCCATGATGAGTATTATTTTCATTGCCACTGCCTTCATGTGCTTCAATTCTCGATTGTTTAGTTGTACAATGAGAAGAATTTTATTTTAAATGAAAGTAAATTGGACTGTCTTTTCGATGCTTGATCGCTGTTATTTTGATAAATTGGCATGTTGTTTTGATACGTTACGTATGTCATGTGATTACCATCAAACATTTCTCTCATATTTTTAATAAATAATAAAAATGTTATTAATAACCCACTTAAATTGTAAAACTGATTTGCTATTTAGTTGTGCTGCTTAATTATATTTTTGTGTTTTTAATCAAATTGCCCATGACTGAATGTTTAGGGGCTGAGATTTTTATAAGAGTAGAAGCAGAAATGTGTGTAATGTGTGGAAATTTGTGAAGGGTTAATTGCTGTCCAGATGCACCGATCGACTTTTGTCTTCCAACTTAAAATTCAAAGTATGTCACATCGTAAAATTGTCATAATCACAAAATATAAGTGTTAAAACCCAACATTTTTCAGTCAGGTCATCTGGACAGTTGCTTTTTTTGTGCTGAAATGTTTCGCCTTCGATCCGGAAGGCTTCATCAGTCAAGGAAACACATAACACAAAAATGATTCTTCTCCCAACAGCTTACTCCAAAGTGGAACAGTTATGTTGGTGCTAAGTTGGTCTCTTGTCACGCCCCCTCCTCCATTGCCCGCCCTCTTCCTTGTTGACAGTCGTGTCAAACTGGTTGAAAACAACAAAGTCCATGTTCAATAATCCAGGTATACAATTCAAGGTTTTTCAGTGAGGTCATCTGGACAGTTTCTTTTTTTGTGCTGAAACGTTTCGCCTTCCATTCGGAAGGCTTCATCAGTCAAGGAAACACACAACACAAAACTGATTCTTCCCCCAACAGCTTACTGCAAAGTGGAACAAACCAGTTAAGTTGGTGCTAAGTTGGTCTCTTGTCACGCCCCCTCCTCCATTGCTGGCCCTCTTCCTTGTTGACAGTTGTGTCAAACTGGTTGAAAACAACAAAAGTCCATGCTCAATAATCCAGGTATGCATCCATCCATCCATTTTCTTCCGCTTATCCGTGGTCGGGTCGTGGGGGGTAGCAGCCTAAGTAGGGAGGCCCAGACTTCCATATCCCCAGCCACTTGGTCCAGCTCCTCTGGGGGAATCCCGAGATGTTCCCATGCCAGCCAAAAAACATAGTCCCTCCAGCATGTCCTGGGTCTTCCTCTAGGCCTCCTCCCGGTGGGACGTGCCCAGAACACCTCACCAGGGAGGCGTCCAGGAGGCATCCTAAACAGATGCCCAAGCCACCTCAACTGGCTCCTCTCGACGTGGAGAAGCCGCGGCTCTACTCTGAGTCCCTCCCGGATGTTCGAGCTTCTCACCTTATCTCTAAGGGAGAGCCCAGACACCCTGCGGTTAAAACTCATTTCGGCCGCTTGTATCCGAGATCCAGGTATGCAATCCAACATTTTTCAGTCAGGTCATCTGGACAGTTTCTTTTTTTATGCTGAAACGTTTCACCTTCGATCCGGAAGGCTTCATCAGTCAAGGAAACACACAACACAAAACTGATTCTTCTGCCAACAGCTTACTCCAAAGTAGAACAAACAAGTTAAGTTGGTGCTAAATTGGTCTCTTGTCACGCCCCCTCCTCCATTGCCGGCCCTCTTCCTTGTTAACAGTCGTGTCAAACTGGTTGAAAACAACAAAAGTCCATGCTCAATAATCCAGGTATGCAATCCAACATTTTTCAGTCAGGTCATCTGGACAGTTTTTTTTTGTGCTGAAACATTTCGCCTTGGATCTGGAAGGCTTCATCAGTCAAGGAAACACAACTTTGGAGTAAGCTGTTGGGGGAAGAATCAGTTTTGTGTTGTGTGTTTCTTTGACTGATGAAGCCTTCCGAATCGAAGTAAAAAAAATCTATCTATCTGTCCGTCCGTCCGTCCGTCCATCTATCTATCTATATATATATATATCCATCCATCCATCCATTATCTTTACCCGCTTATTCCATTTTGGGTCATGGGGGTCGCCGGTGCCCATGTCCAGCAATCACTGTGCGAGGGGCGGGGGACACCCTGGACAGGTCGCAAGTCCATCACAGGGACACAAAGAGACAAACGAGACAAACAACCATTTACTCTCCCACTCACACCTAGGGACAATTTAGAGTTACCAATTAGCCTAACATGCATGTTTTTGGTCTGTGGGAGGAAACCGGAGCACCCGGAGAAAACCCACGCATGCACGGAGAGAACATGCAAACTCCACCCAGAAAGGCCCCTGGACCGGGGTTTGAACCAGGGACCTGCTCACTGAGAGGCAGCAGCTCTACCAGTTGCACCACCGTGCTGCCTATATATATATATATATATATATATATATATATAAAATATATTTCATATATACGTTCAATATCCCCACCTCCTGTAAAGCTATGTTTGTGTATCTATGCTCATCAATGTGATTAATCAAAATCAGGTAAATGTGAGCGTGAGTGCTCT